TGATCTGGCCAAGTACAGGCAGCATACAGACGTAGCATAGTTTCCTTGGGCAAAATCGATCGCATGAGCTGATTAATGTCAGCCCATGTTGGATTATAACAATTTATAACAGTCTGCAATTCTTCCTGAAATTTTTCTGGGTCTTCCCTGATTTTGGGGAATTTTTGAGTTAAATTGTAGAGATCACCTGGAGTCCAGGGTGCATGCACGGTTACTATATTTTGTCCATCGGTGCCAATGCCTGGCATTTGTCTTAGGGGGTAAACTTGTGCAGCTCGGGATCTAAGATTGATGGGAGATCTTTCCATGCCTATTCCCATTCTTCTAAATACACCTGTGGTGGGTTGTGACCCAGGAGTAAATTGCCACACTGGTGATGATTGAGTGGCAGATATGGTGGATGAGTCCAGACTATTAAGCTCCGTGGATGGATTTACTGAAGGAGCTTCAGCTAATGAGTTACTAGCCTGGGCTGCAGCCTGATGTTGAACCGGTTGTTGCTGATGTGGGAGTCCCAGGAGAGCAGGGTTCGAACAAAGGTCAAGGATATCCTCTGCTGGCTCCGGTGGTGGGGGCGCCCCGGGCAATGCTGGATACATCGGAGCGGTGGCCGGCGTGTAATTTGGGGGAGCAGCCAATTTCTCCCGAACAGCTTGTAACTGCTGTTTTAATTTTTCTTGAGAGTCTTTTAGGCTCCTAGTTTGAGATTCTGTCCGCCTTTTGGACATTTCATCATACCAATAAAAGAACGCGTCCCACTGGTTTTGTGGTGTTTTGGATCCACGGGACTCTAAAGCCCCTCTTAAGTGCACTATTTTATCCTGATCAAATGTTCCTTCTTGTGGAAAATGCTTCACAGGATCATCCCTAGTATACCAGTTCCACTTATCCAGGTACTTGCAAGCCTCGGGAGAATAGTGTGTGTACATAAAGTACGCCGGAGTCCCCTTAGGGGGGACGGGAACTTGTTTAGACTGACTCGTTCCCATTTTCAGTCACACAGGGAGACGTAGGAGAGGCTTATTTAGGATGTCCGGGCCGCTCAGTGCCTTGCCCCGCAGTTTTTCACTGCCCAGACAAAAGGCTTCTGACCCGACACCGGCTCATAAAATGGAAATGGGAATGGGAAACACAAGAGGAATCCTTTCACTCCTGCTCTCGGCAGAAGCTACTGGGACAAGGGGTTTGGAAAAGACAAAATCACTCAGACGCCCTGTCCACTGGGTCACGAGGTTTCAGCTGGGCCCCCTTGCTTTCGACGCTACCTTTTTTAGGCAGAATCGGGGCGGCTAGACCCAGCCTTAGTCCCAGACCTGGTCAGTGGCTCATTTTTCTAAATGCACACACACACATTTATTCAATCACTGGGAAGCCCTGTCCACTGGGTCACGAGGTTCCAGTTGGGCCCCCTTGCTTTCAAAACTGCCCTGTCAGGCAGAATTGGGGCGGCTGAACCCAACCGTAGTCTCAGACCTGGTCAGTGGCTCATATTTCTAAATACACACACATGCACATTCATTCAGTCAGCCAGACCTCCTCCCCCACACCGCCTTAGTTAATTAACGACAAGCCCGATGTGCTGTAGGATGAAGGTGCTTCATACAGTTTCTCCCTAAATAAAACGTACGTTACCAGACACAAAATGGGATCCTTTACCAGACAGAAAATTTTAGCCGGCAGTAAGGTTCAGACTGACCTGTTTTAACAAGGTTCAGATCCAGTTACCACGGCCAAGTTGGGAGCCTACAGGCAGTCCTCCGAAACCCCAATAGAGATTTTGAATTAGGTCTCTTACCTCTCAATTTTGGCGCCTCGGGGTTCGGGGGGGGCAGTCTGCGGTCCTCCTTCCTCAGCCTGTGTTCTGGATCTGAGTCACGGCACCAGGAATTGTTGTGGAAACATACGCAGCGTACTTTTGGGTCAGGTCAGCAGAAGCTTTTATTCAAAAGAAACTACAGCTGTAGGGGGGATTCCAAAGTGACATGGATTTCCCAAGCACTTGGAAGGGGTCCCCCCCAAGAGCAAAATCAGGAGGCTTATATACTTTTTAACAGTTGCTTACAACTCATGTGATCATATAGTGAAATTAGCATGAAAAGCGGCTATAATATTACTTCATTATTTCTTTGCTGTAATCAGGATGGGAACTAATGGGGGAGGCGAGGTTAGTTCACAAACCTCCTTCTTGCACCTGGAAATCAGATTTGTACATACTTTTTTGCTATCTTCAAGGCCGCGGTGAGCGAAGCAGTTGCAGAGGAGTTACAAAGAACAAACACTTTCTCTTATCTGTTCTACTATACAGAGCCAGCAATTCTCCACAAAGCGGTTATGTCATCTTATAACTAAAATAATCAAAGTTTAAGGCAGATATTTTTTCTGATTCCACAGGGCACTTGAACTAAGGTTCATTGAATAAGCTTTTGTTCAATGTTGCCCTGTTGCCATTTTGAAGCAAGGGATGCTGATACATGAGTCACTACAGAACTTTAATTAAAGCGACTCTTGGAGCCGCTCTTATTAAAGCACCACCCTTCACAAGCTTCAGAGCACATGTAAAAATTCCCTATATGTCTGAGGAGTCTTAGTGAAGACACTGGGGCACAGGTTCAGCATTAAACATCTATTTCTGTGTTTGCTGGATTGTGGCTCACCACCTTGGAGGACTGAGTAGATAGCAATATATCTGAATACTATTTGAATATCGTTGTCTTTTGGGTAGCACATCCATCCACAGGATAGTGGGCATATGTGCAAATCTATTTGGCTGGTAAGATACAATGTGGAGCTTTATACTTTGTGATTACTTGTCCACCATTGGCTGAATCAACAAGGAAAGACGTAAAAGGAAACAGCAATACATCTTCCATGGTAACAAATGGGGGAGGCCACAAAGGATGAGTCTGGAACCAGATCAGGATCTGAACTTTCACAGCACTTCGAAATGTGTTTCTACTACTCCAGTCTTTTGAGGCTCTATTGAGGCCTCTAATTACATGCCCCAAATGTATTGGTGACATCACAAGAAACTTGAAACACTGTGACTCACTTGCCTGAGGTAGTAGTGAGTGTTAAGGGTACAGAGAAACTAGCTATAACACAAGATTTCTGTCATCTTGGGAAACCTGCCAAATTGATCAGGTTAGAGAGGCCTGGATTCATCTATCTTAGAGACTTTCTCTACAAGGCACCTTCTGTGTAAAATGAAATCTATCTGATGACATTTTATTCTAGAAAGTGCCATCTATCCAAAGTAAATGAAACATTTCTTTGTAATCTATTTGGTTCATCTCCAGGACATGAAAGTACACCTTGTAAATGGCAATATTACTGAAAACATCTTATTGTGTCGGAACTTTTACATTCACTCTTGCGTGTTTCTGATGTGAATGCCACTGAGTCCAACTTCTTGAAAATTATGAGACCTCTGTTTTCCATTTAGAACATGTTATTATCAGCAGTCTTTTTTATGTCTTTTTTAGAAAAAAAGCATAAAGGAAAATGCAAATGAAACTGAGAAGTGTGCATTGCCGTGGAGTTTGCTAGATTTGTTTTAAGAAGGAATACAATAGAAAACACTCTTACAGGCTTTTGATACTGGAATTAATTTGACTAAATCCATAGACAATGTAGTCATACAGTGGAATGATCAGCTGAAATTCCGAGTTTCAAGGAATTCTTAGTTTCCATCTGTTTGAGCTGGAATAACTGCTATACCCTTATATATTATTAATATTAAACCAAAGAGGGGAAAAACAATTTAAACTAAAGTTGGAATATCAGCTTGTTCTCATCAAGCAAATGTCATGGAGTACATAGGGTACAAAATAGTTCTGCCTCACCCATACGGTTTGTCTTTTGCTTCCTTTGTCTTCTGTTATCTGAATCATAGACTGTGAGCTCTCTTGGGTAGGAACTACTTGTGTGTTATTTGGGGGTGTAGCCACTGTTTAAATGGGGCACCAATTTTGGCTGTTTAGGTATTATTTCAGTAGAAGGTAATAAAATAATATACAACAAGGAATGAAAAACTTTTAAATTTTTTTTGGATCATTATTCATCTGTGCTATGGCTATGCATTTTTTAGTGAATGAGCTATCACTTGTGGCTATTCAGTACTGCCTTAACAGTAATATGGCCTGAGAGGGAGACAGCCTTTGCCTGAAGGGGCAAAATCTTGCCTTTCCTCCCCCAATCCTCCCACCCCCCAAATATCTCAGCATACTGTGGTGCTCACATTTCCATCATCCATTCGAAAGGTACAATATGATCCTCTAATGTCTCTGTTCAGCTTGGGATGTAGGAAGGGGATGCAAAACATGGTTACTATATTGGGGCAATAAACACCCTCAACGATGTAAAGAAAAATAAGTCCTTTTGTTTCCCCAAATGCAGAGACTGTGACTGTGTTTAATTCTTGAGTGGCAGGTTCAAAAGTAAGTGAAAGCTCTAGGTTCTTAAATGTGACTAGAGTTCATGCCAATTCATTCTATTATGAATGAATTCTAGCTGCAGATCTGAGTTCTTCAGAGATTAGTGCAAGTTTAAATAGATTGTTTCCAGGCCTAATATCTCAGAATGAAATTAAGTGAACTTTCTATTTGTTTTCCCATTCAGAAAGCTTCTGTTGAATTTTAGATTTAAAGATAAAAAACTAATGCAGGAAAGGAGAGACTGAGATACACGAGGCAAAGAATTGTGCCTTAAAACACAAAGTGCTGGTTACAACTGTGAAAATGGGGTAAGGATCATCCTTGCATAGCATGTTTATGCTCATATGTAGTATTTAAAATGTTGAGAAACATTTTCTATCATGTGCTTTAAAGCAGAACTCTTCTGGTATGCATCTGTCAAGAAGATAAAGTGGATCCCACACTCTATATGGCAAATGGGTAACATCTGTATTTCTTGAGAGATTTCCTAGATCAATAATAGACTTCTTCATTCTTTAATATAAACCCATCCCTGTTTCTTTTTTTTCCTTTCTGAATTCATCACAGGGGACTTCTTATCTGCTGGAGTGTTTTCATAAATTGAATATGTCCACAGCAATAGAGCTCCAAGAAATGAAAGGCAAAATAACATGGCTGCAAAACTACATGCTTAATTTCACAGGCCAGCTCCTCAGTGTGGAGGAAAGAAATGACGCTCTGATGCATCCATTAAACTCACAGGTCTGTATTTTTCTGCCTGAACTATTTGACACCCATTTTTACAAAACAATGTTCAACATCATTTATTTTTTACTTCAGAGGTTATTAAAATGGGGTAAGAATTAAAGAATTAAAATGCCACATGGAGACCACATTATTCACTTTTAAAAATCAAAATCACCAGTTACCTGATCTCCTGGCCTTGCCCTGTTCTGTGCCACTTTTACAGCAAGCTGACTTTTGCTAACCCACACTTACAATGAAAATTTCAGAATTAGTAGCCAAAGGTCTTTGGAATCCCCACTGACTTCACTGGGGCCAAGATTTCACATATGCAATTTAAGTACAATTCTAATGACGTCAAATAACTGCTTAACTTTAATGGGGCCAAGATTTCTTTGAATCACTTTTATTCAGAAATCCATTTTCAAGGGAGAAGCAAATTCAAAATGTGACTCTGCAAGTTAAATATGGCTACCCAGCAGAAATGCGTATTGTATACTACTACTATTATGGTATTTCTAACAATGTGAAATGGCAGATCCTTGGGAGAACCCAGCAGAGCAAGGTCATATAAATATCCTCCTTCCGTTTAAGTGGGAATGCTTGGCCCCGTCAAATTTTTTTCCTATCTTGTAGTTTTACAGAAATGGCTTAGCATCATTTTTCTTTTTAACTCTTGCAGAACCCTTTTGAGTCTAAGATGAATGCCATGGAAAAGCAATTCAACAATGCCACAGAGGCTCTGAGCAACCTTCAAAACCGCCTTGAGGAGGTTAGCTTGCTAACTTATCTGAAATAAAATACAATGTGCAATAGACATTGACTCTTTCTGCCCAGTGTCTTATTTGTAACAGTCCTTTTTAGGGTGTGGAACAGGGATACACATGAATGTATCAAACCAATAATTGCCGTCAAGTACTTGATTGCACAAACTACTGTAAAAAATACATCAAGGCAAAGGCAACTATATATCTTGGTTAGGAAGCTACTGGAAGTATTGGCTTCTATATAGGATGTATAAAAATGCAGAAGATAGCAAAGTACTTAAAGAAATACAGAACTCTCTAAGAGCCAAGGTTCAGCTCCCCACAAGAAAATCAGATACTAACATGTTCAACACTTCTACCTTCATCAGCTACAGCCAGGACAAGTAATCTCCTGCTCTGTACTGCTACACACTCTAACCCTACTAACAGTGGATCAACGAGTTTCCAAGAAGTCCTTTAACTTTACTAGATTTTCCTTTCTAGGACTTGTAATTTTTTCTAGGGAAAATCATAGAATCACAGGCAACTGTTGGGTGGGGAGCACAGGGGAACACATGCCCCCCTCCCCCCCCGAAATTGGCCCCCAACTTGGTACTGCTCAGGACGGAGCAGGTTTTTTGCCATGTGGGCCAGCAGCGTGTTGGGGGGGCGGGGAGGGCACTAAGTCATGGCACAGAAGTATAGGAGTGGATTTGGGGCTTTTGGCCTGCCCCTGGGCCCGCCCATAAATTGTGCCCCCCCCCAGACTCAAGTGGCACTAGTCACCCCTGCGTAGAATCATAGAGTTGGAAGCAGGTTTGCCAACTGTCCATAAATTTACAAGCAGTCAGTAAAAATTTAGGTTAAAAATGCCTGTCCATAACGTCCATAAATACATTTAAACTGTCCAGAAAAACAGTCAAGCTCAAGTTGCTTTGTGAAACTCCCGCTTGGAAAGAAGCTGCCCCTTAGAGCTTGATGGAAGGAGAGCTAGAGCACAGCAGTGCCATCTGGTGTCCAAGCGGGACTGCAGCACCCTGAAGAAGCCTTCTCAAAGGGCCTTGTTAGACCTCTTTCCCCACCCTATCCCCCACCACCTCCCTCAGCCATGTGCAGCTGCTGATGCTTCCCATCCTATAATACTTCTGGGTTGCAGATATGCTTCTTTAACACGGGGTCTGTGCTCAGACACAGGCAGTGGAGCTGCTAGAGGTAAGGTTGGGTGTGGGCTGCAGGGTGCAGCTTTGTGGTCAAGACCAGCAGGGTATGGGGATTAATAGGGGACCCTGGAGGTAGAGGCAGCATGAGGTAAAACTATTGCTACCATCAAGCAGGTTTTTCAGCCCAAGATTCTTTTTTTGTTGCAAACTTTTTACCGACAACTGAACTTTTTGGCTTTTTCAGTATGCTTGGTGTTAAACCCCTACATCTGAACCTAGCTCTTCTAACTGGGGCCTTGCAGCAGAAGTGTTACTTTTACATTATGTAAAACAGATATCATCATTAAAGCATATGTCAGTAAAAAAAAAAGTTTGTCATTAAAATTTTGCAGATTGTCAATTTAAAAAAAAAACCTCTTGGGTTGGTAACCCTGGTTGGAAGGGACCTCAAGGATCAACTCATTCAACCCTCTGAAAAAATCCTGGATGCATGCTAGACAAATGCTTATCCAGCTGCTTGAATATTTTCAGTGAAGGCAATTCCACAACTTGCTTGGGCAGCTTGTTCTGTTGCCCTATTCAACTGATAGTAAGGAAGCACACACCCCCTTTCCAATTTAATCTAAATTTGCTTTGCTGAAGTTTAAACCCTTCGTTTTGTGTCCTGCCTTCAGTGGCAAGATAGAGCAGTTGTTCTCCCTTTTTTTTATGGCAGTCTTTCAAATATTTAAAGCCTGCTGTCATGTCTTCTTTTTCTCCAGTTTAAACATGCCTACTTTTTTCTTCCCTTCCTTTGTAGCTTGTACTGCAACTCCTTTATGAATTTTGTTACTCACCTCCAAGTGTACTAAGGCTTAAACTCAGCTCTATTTTCTTTGCCTATCTATACCATCATCTATGCAGATGCTTTGATGCATCCTTTGATGCTTTATCAAAAGGATAATGATAGGGGCATCAGGTGTGTTAGTCAAGGAGCAACAGAGCACTTTGCCCATACTGCACTAGAGCAATACTGGCTACAGGGTATACAGAGCTGTGTGTATATTTCTATGCATGTGTATCCCCCTGTCCCAGATAAATCATTGCCTGTTCATCCTGCATCAGTTCAGTGTCGTATGCCTATGTCATGTATAGCTCCATTCACAGCTGCATTTATATCCAAATTTCCTTCTCTTGATTCAACACTGAAAACACTGAGGAGCTGCAGTATATTGGCAAACAAGGCCCCATCCCAGGCAGAGTACAAGGGCTGCAATTTCAGCCTCAGCCCTTTCCAGCCTCAGTTTGGCACCTGAATTGTGCTTTTGTCCATCATGACATCAACAGAAGCATTTCACTGAATTGCTGCCTTGTTTTCAGTCACAGTCAGAGCTCAGTATCACTCTGCATTTTGCATAAGGCATCTTTGAACTTATCCCCAGCACAGTCTAACGAAAAGACTGGACTGGGCTGCGTAGAGAACAATACTACTTTCTTTTCCCAGGTTCAGGATCAGCACTATTTAGTTTCAAAGTTTTCACTGAAGTGATCATATTCTCTTTCGCTCAGTCAAAATCACAGTGTCCTCAGGTTCATTTAGTTTAATAATACTTGAAGCAAAGGGGTGTGTGTGTGTGTGTGTGTGTGTGTGTGTGTGTGTGTGTACCTGTTTGCTTCAGGTATATGTGTGTGTGTATACACACACACACACACAGAGCAAACAGTCAATTATCTAGGGTGAAATAATCTTCTCTGGTGGGGAAGCAGGACTGGTGTGGAAAATGTATGCTCTGGCAGTTTGTATCCTGGGATTTAACTTACATCTCTGAGTTCTCAGGTACAACTGAAGGGAGGGGACATGGTGCTGCTTTTTCAGGTGGACCAAAGGAGAAATTAAGTAGTCTTAGAACCAAATGTGAATTCAAATCAGTGAGATTATGCAAAAGGATGGTGCTTAGAAAGAATAGTGATTTATTATCTTTGGTAATATTTATATTTTTCTTTTCAATCTTAACGCGATTTATCATTGGTCCTACAATCAGGATATATGAATATTAATAGCAATACATTTATTGTTATATAGTAAAGGCCAAGTTCTGCCCTCAATTACCTATAGAACCTGATTGATTCGAAGGGATATAATTAGTAAGGTAAAAAATGTGGCCTTATCATTTCACATTTTCAGAATGCACAATTCATAGTACATAGATAAGGCTAAACCCTTATGGACACGATTAATAGGAAGTACTACGGTGTTTAACTGGGAAACGAGCACTGCTGCTTACTTTAGGAACAAGGCAGAGACGTACTCCTGGGTTAAGTGGAAGTTACTTGCTTCTACAACAATACCCCACAAGACACACACACTCCCGCCCTAAAAAAAAAGTCTTCAAAATCCCCAACCCCTACAATCATCAATCTGCAGATAGAAGTGGGGAAGATTCTGGAGCACAGGGCTAGCATCATTCATTCTTAAACCCTGTCAAAAAGTTGGCAGGTAAATGATGCCACCTTGAATGATATCTTTCTATAGGGCCTTGCTTAATACAGCCTGAGTCCCATTTGGTATCTGTAGAATCACACAATCCTGGAAAAAAAGTGCTGTAAGGGGCCTCAGGAGGGCAACCCCTTGCTCTCAAGGCAAGATCATACTAGGTGTGTCCAACCTGCTCTTAACCTGGTTCCAAAAATGGAAACTTCACAACTTCTGTAAGTAAACTGATCCATTATTTAAGCACCCTCAATTAGAAAGTTTTTCCTAAAGTCCAGCCTAAATTTCCCCTGCTGCAATGTATTACCATTACTTCTTGTTCTGTCCTCTGTGGCCACAGAGAATAGTCTATCACCATCTTCTTTATGCTCTCCCTTCTTGTATTTTAAGGCTGTTAAATTTTAAGACGGGTTGTCTGCATACCACTGGTGGTACCACAGATTGGGAAGACAGCCTCCTTTGCAGTTCAGCCAAATCCTAAACAAATATTGCTGAAACAAAAAACTGACTTCACCACTAGATGTCACCAGAATACTAACAATATCTCACAACTCAGCAACTGTAGCCCTTTTACCATTGAAATAAAATGTTCTCATAACATACAGATTCAATTCAAGAAAAGGAAAATGACTTTGTTTCGGTAATTTGCATGTAGAAGCACCAAATAAACCAACACTCTAACATGCTGTCTACAATAAAAGACTCAAGATCCTTGTTATATAAAGTTCAGCAATGAGTTGGAGCCTCATTGTTGTTTATAGTAAGTAGTTCCCTTTTTGGCAATCTGAATGAAGAGGTTAGTGATGGGCAGGGCCTGGTGACATATCTTCCCCAGTGGTTGGAATTGAAGAATAGGTTGGGATGCATAAGTGAATACTGAGTAAGCAAGTTTCCCAACCTCAGGAAAACTTTTGAGAAGTTGGGTATTTTTCCCATATAGAATTAAGACAAAATGTCACATCCTGGAAAATTGTTGCGAGCAAGCAAACCAAAGCTAGATTTAGTTTGGCTCACTTGGATCCTGATACTTTTATGTTCTTTTTTTGCTCGTTTTACTGGAATTGGTTTAAATTTCCAAATAAAAGTAATTTCAGAGAGTTTCAGAACTTTATTGAAATATTTTCAAAATAAGAAATTCATAATATCATAGGAATAGAAGGATGCCACTCAGCATCTAATTCTCTGTGATAGTAAGCAATCACATCATACTAATTACTTTAAGAAACTTATCAAGCTACATATTAAACTACTTAGTTTTTGTCCCATTCTTCCACAACCTCACTCCTTGTTAGAAATGGTCTTTTAGCTTCCAGAGTCAAATTATTCATTGATTATTCATGTCCCTTTGTTCTTGTGCCACCATTGTCCTTTAGCTTAAAAAGCAATTTTCTTTCCTTCATCTTTACACCTCTGAGCAATGATATCCCTTCCTGAGTCGTCTTTTTGCTAGGCTGAAGAAGCCAAATTTAGTCATCCCTCATAAAATGGGATGAAACTGCTGAAATTGATTCTTTCCTACAAGCAGTTTAGAGCAAATTGGCATTTCTTAATGAAAAATATGTTTAGCTGAGACCTTCCTGGGTAGCTGTAGTATAGCACTCCCTTTGGTTAGGCCACATGTGTTTTGTATTTGACATAAGCTGAGGAATTTAGGGTCCCACACTAGCAAAATAAAGAGGCCTTATCATAAATGAAAATTATGTTCAAACTTTTTGGGACTTTCAACCCAGCACCTTCCATGAGCACTTAAGTCACATGGTGGTATACTTAAAGCCCACATTTTTCAAAATAAAAACTGCTGTAACACTGGATTTCTATGCTCACTACCACGGAGATATTTATTTCCAAAGTGTTTGCAAAGAAATAGATTTTGGTTTAGTGTGCTCATCAGGCAGTTATGAGTGCAGTCAGTATGAGAGTGTACTGTATGCCTACAGCCTAATTAATGGCACCCACTATTGGATTCACCTCACCAGGGCTGGAATTGCACAGGGAAGTAGGAATGAGTGCTAGTAGTACCAGGTGGAGCCCCAATACCCATCCATCAGTGGTAACATCGAAGCCCCTCTCTAGGGTTTGGAAGAGGTTACAATTCTTCTGAATGAATGTGGGAAGTGTACTTGAGGAGCTATAAGGAGTAGTCTTGCACAAATACATTATTCACTCATGAGACAGAAAATATTTTTTCCCTTTATAAAGGAATAATATAGTTATGCATAAAAAATGTATTGCTTTGCATTATGTGGTGCATTGGCACTGATTAAAATCTCACTGATGTAACATATAGCATATCTATTAATGGCTCTTTATTTGACAGGGACTGGACACAGTGTTTTTACAGATCTCTCAGCTTAAAGATGATTTCTTCTTTATTGAGAGCTTCTTGAATCACACAGATATGAAAAGCTCAAAGTCCTATATGTCTGCATCTAAACTCTCAAAGGAAACAGAAGATACACCTGCAACAATCCCTCCAAATCCCCAGGCTGATGGTGGGTCAGATATTTTAGTCCAGATTAAGATTTAAATTTATCTTTTCAAATTTAGCCCTCAAGCGAATATGAATGATCAAGTGAATTTGCAGAAATTGGATTGGATTGAGGTGTACTTGTAAGTACATCCCTTAAATAGAACAATTCACTCTACTAAAAGAAAGGATGCATCTCAGTGGTACTGAGAACTGAAAATCCCCAGCTGACTTGGAGAATGGGAGTTAGCTCTTGGGATTTGGCACTGCGATTGCACAGTTCATTTTACTTTTCATTTCCCTGCCTGGTGCAGCTTCTGCCCAAACAATACTTGCAAGTTTTCAAGAAGCTAGGAGCAGTGAAATAGCAGTCACTGATTTTAAAGTCTGTTATTTCTTCTTCCTGAAATGATAATAGTAAAAGGAAAGCCCATTTGAAATTCATCTAATCAAATATTATCACTTCTGGTCAATGCAAGTCCTTACAGATCATACCAGTGTAATTTTGCTATTCTATTCATGGGGGAAAACTTCCTCTCCAGTCTCTGATGGCAATTGCTTTATGACATGAAGCATGGTATTAAACTATCTGTACCATTATTTTAACTTCCATACTTACTATTATTTTGGTGTTTTGCATTTTAAAAGTGTTTTACAGTATTTGCATGAATAACGCCAACCATTATATTTACTGTATGAAAATATGTTTCCTGTTATTGGCTGAAGCTTTATTTCCTTTTATATTCATTAAATCACTCCTTGGTATTTTTTTATTTTGCAAAAATAAAAATAAATGGCTGATCAGTTTTCACTGCACCCTTTATAAATCTGAATACCTCAATTAAGTCATTGCTATATCTTTCCTTTTCCAGAATAAGTAATCTTTCTTTTGTAGTCTCTTCTATATCAGCCTCAGTAATCATTTTTATCGTCTTCATTTTGGCATTTGGCATCTACAACTTTTTTAACCAGTCATTAGTATCACATACTTTCTATTTATCAACATACTGGGATTTTTTTTCACTGTCCTATGGAACAACCAAGATGAACTTTGAGCTAATGTGAAGACTTTTGACAGCTAGAGATACAGTCCAGGTAGAGGTCTCTGTTGATTGGTTCTTCAGTCCACTGTTGATGCCTGACTTCCAGAAGCTACTTGGTGGCTATTTAAGCATTTTCTAAGTAGGAAAAATACAGAATATTTTATTGAGTTAACAATAACCCAGGAAAAGACTTTTTGAAAGATGCCTAATATCTCTTTTGCAGGAATTCTTTTATTTTGTTTCAACATAAATGAATGCTCAGAATAAATAAGACCTTGTCTCATTTCAGCATTGCAGCTGGTTTTACAGGAAGATATCTTACATTACACCCTATTTCAAATACACTTGAACATATCGAGCAAAGAAGTGACACTAATGCTCACATGTCATTCAATAGGAACTATGTTTAACATTTTAATTAGTATGCCAGTCACATCTAAACTGCCAATTTTTACGTCAATTTGTACGACATTGTTATTAATTAAAGGCAGTTCCTCAGATGGCTTAATCTGAATGGCGCTGGGCACATCTACACGTGCACATTTACTGAGCAGTAACCAAAATTACTGTGCAGCATAGGCCCGCATCTTCATGTGCATTCCTGTACTGTGCAGTAAATATAGTGACTTATGCCGACTCTAATGTAAATTTGATACCTGCATCCTGCAGTGTTAATGAGCTTTAACACCTGGACGAGTAAGATACTGGCCTATTCCTGCTTACTGTGCAGTAATTTACTGAGCAGTAAATTTAAGCCGGCATAAATGCACGTGTAGACATGCCCACTGATTTGCATTATCTGAGGATCTGCCCCTACTCGGTTTAAAAGCTCATTTTGCCCACACAATCACTGCAGTGAATCACTGCAGAAAACAAAGAGAAGTTGATGCCATTGTACATTGGAAGCAGGCATCATGCAACCTAAGAATCAGTTTATTTAAAATAAATTATGCAATATTTGTCTTTCTGTCTTTGGTAGTATAAGTAATGTAATCTTCACATGGTTTCTCATGTAATGAAAGGATCCACTATAATGTTCCCTATAGCACTACTGAAGAATCCAACAGCCCAAATCCTTCTAGACCATAAGACAGAAGCAATGGGGCCAGAGACAATACAGAAGCCCAAAATAAACATTCCATTTATAAAGAAACTTACAGGTGAGATTGTTGGTGTCAGAACGTATTATCTGCAATTGAGCAGAATGAACAAATGCTGTGAGATTTGTATAGGTTCAGTTTTAAACAATATTCACTAGGGATAAAATTCAGTCCTGGACAGAGGGACTGCGGAAGGCTTCAAATGAGAACATCCTAATACAACATCAGATTTATGTGGATGTAACTTCTACTTTACACTGGTAAAAGTAAGGTCAAAATCAAATTCTAATCTTCTTCTTAGTTTTCATCAGACAGAATTATTCCCATGGCTCTAAATCTTTTATTTGTTCTTTTCTGGACATATTGTATTTATGGTAAATTATTTGTGAGTGACCAGATATCAACAGAGACATCAATATAAGTTCTGACCATTTATTTTGTTTTCTTCTTTGATTATTGTTGGGACTTTAGCAGTTATTTCCACTAAGCTGTTCACATTGACTCCCCAGTTTATTACTAGTACTGTTACTACTGCTCCTACTACTATTTTCTTGACTAGACATAGTTAATCTAGAACCCTCCAGTCATTATTTTGTACTTGAATATCATCTACACTCTTGGTGTGTAAATTCCTAGTTTATTTTAGTACTTTCTGGGCACATCTACAAGTTCATTAATTCACCTTTGCTACTGCACATTAAGTTTAGTACCTCTAATATGAGGTACCTCTAATACGAGGTACAATCACAGCGTCTCATGCAGACACACCTTCTGTTGTGCTTCATAATCACCTCTGGTCTTAAATTAGCTTAATAATGTTGTGTCACTGGTATATTTTACCTGTTTTATACCTTTCCCTAGGAAATGAATATAGTAAATAATCATCCTACCAAAGTGGTTAATGCAAAACTTCATGTGGAGAGGGACACAGGACAATTCTTTCTGACTCCTAAAGGACTGGTTGTTTTATGTCCATAAGCCAAATCATATACTCTGGTCTAAATATCCATCAGCAAAAAAACCTACTCCAGGAAAGGGAGAGGCTGCCTCTACAGATGCTTTGGGAAACAGCAGTATCTTGTAACCTTTATAAGTGACTTTCTATTTTGTACATGCTGATTAGAAAATTCTTTTTCTGTCTCAGGGTCAGAGAAATGGATAATAAGTGTACTTGCTGACTAGGAGCTCAGACTTGGCCCCTTTCCAGATACTCAGTACATTCTTTGTATAAATAGGGTCTTTGTAAATGTCCAAAAATGAGATTATCTATCTATCTATCTATCTATAGATCTCATTTTTGGACATTTACAAAGACCCTATTTATACAAAGAATGTACTGAGTATCTGGAAAGGGTATGCATATATATATATATGGAATTTATAATTCTATGGTGATGTATATGAGTCTGAAATGACTTGAGTTTATTGTGAACTAATTTATCTGTGTCACAAGGACAATGGAAAGTAGAAAGGATTATTTTCATCATGTTCACTTAAGGGCTATATCAATAAGCATCAACCAGTCTGGAGTTTCAGGCTACAGCTGGCTGAACAGCAGTTTTCCTCAATCCAACTGCATCCTAACCAGTGATATGCTGCTCAAGAGCAGCATTATGGTTATTTGTTAACTGCTAGAAAATCATTCAAATGCAACACAATTTAAGGATTATGGAATAATTGCCTGAGGCAACTCTTCAGCTGTTCCAAGCAGCCCTTGGCTTCAGCTGGAAGTATGGTCCATTTCTTCTCACTATTTGTACAACAGATCTCCCACCTTCACTCCCTTATAAAGTAAAAGGTTGAAGTTACGTGTTACACTTCAACCATACTAAATCTAGGGAATTGTTAAAGTTAGAAGTTAAAGTTAGAATGTGGTGTGAGCAGTCGCACATTAAGAGTTAATCCCATTTCTTGCCTGCACAGCTCTGACTTGTCACTGTGGCTAGGGACAGACATTCAAAAACCTGAGCCTGAATTGATTCAATCTTTGCACATTAGTCCAACCTGGCTAGGCTAAATCACTTTGTAACTGCACAGAAATCCCAGAAATGCCTGCAGTGGCTTGGGCTAGAAGCCAGGGAATGCTAGAGCAGTCCTCCCTTCCTTCCACAGGAGGTGAGGTAGGGTGTGGGCAGGATACTCTGATTAGCCCAGAAGGGAATAGGTAACAGTGTTTTTCACCCCCAACTTAGTGTTTATCACCCCATTAGGAAAACAACAGAGGGACATTACCAGCTACCTGTTGATTCTGCTTGTTGATTCTACCTGTTGATTCAGCACAGACCATAGCCAGCTTGTGGTCTGCAAGCTAATACACAGACACCTCCTCAGCAAGGCAGAGGGGAGGGGGGATTCCTGTTTAGCAGGGACTGGTGAGGCGGAGGGAAGGGAGCAGCCTGCAGTCTCTGTAGCTGCAGCCAGGGAGCAGAGGGGAGTGGCCAGCCCTGCTGGGGGGCAGAGAGCCCTGCCCAGCCAGCAGAGGATGCCAGGATGCTGGGGGAGTCTGATTTAATTTAAAACAGCAAGGGGTCTGGGACAGACATTACATAAACCGGTTTGAGCCAAATCAGTTAAGTCTGATACTACATTCAACCAGCTTTATCTCAAACTAGTTTCAGTCATATTCCAACTGGTTTATGGGCACTGAACTTCTGTTCTGTTACAGGTTTAAACAAGTTTCTGATCACTTAAACTGGTTTATGTGCAATATCTGTCCCTAGCCTGCAGGGCTGGTGACCAGGGGCATGGCTAAGAGCCAGGATACCTTGGCATTATCCCTCCTGTGCAGGGGGGAGGGAGGCTGGGAGCTGTACATCCTGGGATGCTTGGACTACTGTAAATTGCTCAATTTATCTTCATGGAGCAGACTGAAATTATTAATTAACACAAGAAAACCCTCACTTGAAGTGGCATAACTTTTGAGATGTTCAGAGTGCATTTAATGTACCATTCACTTAAGAATGATCGGGGAAGGTTCTAGACAGAAGCTCTTCAGTGAAGCTGAGTAGATAGAGGAGCTTTAAGGATAAATCTGTTTTCTATGTTCTAATAATTATCTTGCTCAGCATTATAAGAATGTGACTTTCTGTGAATATTTATCATTGTCACATGAAATGTGTTTAATCTTTCTGAAGGGCAGGGAAGAGCAGAAGCAGGGCCAATACTTCACTATGTTGGTTCATCCATTATTGCCATTTATGTAGTCAGGTCACAGTCATGGTGGCAGGATTGTATAGCTTCAGTTTTGGTCACTCCTGGACCTATGTGGAAGAACCAGCACTCAGACCTGCTACTTAGTCTTGGATTGAGGACTTGATCCTATTTTGGCAAAACTCACATTGACTGCAATGGGAATAGCCCATCAAATGAAGTATTTAAGGACCATAGGAAATTAGATCATCACTAAGGACATCCATTTCTAATATAATAAAGGGCTTTGTCTGCCTGTCTGTAATGTTCTTGGAGCACTCTGATTGGTTACTAAAACAACCAATCAGAGTGCTCCAAGAGTGTTCTGGACATGAGGTGGCAGTGGCGGAGATAGAGCGGACAGAGTG